CCATCCCAGCACATACCACCACTTCACCTCCCCAACTCCCAGTTGCCAACAGCAGCACCAACAAAGTACAACGCCATCCGCCAGTGCCAGCGCACCCAGCAGTTTTTTTTGGCTTTGCACTGACTGCCTTACTGACCTCATTCCCGTCTGGCCTCCCACAACCACCACCACCTACCTCCACCAACCTCAGCCGTCTTCGTCTTCGTCTTTTACATCAGACACCACACACATTCCCACTCCCGTTTAACTTACACCACCACTTCTGGTTCCCCCTCCCAATCCCCTCATTTAGAGCTTCTTACACCTCGTTGTCAAACCCATATTCTTTTACCAGATACCATTCGACGACTCACTCTCGCTCCTGTGTTCCTGTCAAACAGATCCACAGCAGCCAACTCGCCGGCAGCTTAGCTACTCGTCAACCACGAAACCTAGACCCGACGGCGCATCCGTCTTGCCTCAACCCCGTCCTGAGCAGCACAACAACCCGCCGAGACGACGTCCCCAGATTCCCAATAGGAGCGTGGCCTACCATCCACAATTCCATCGCATCCCACGTCGCATTGTCGAACATCATGATAGGCCTGGTTCTGAATTACGACTGCCGGCTCCCGAGTTAACAATACCCACCCACAATTCGATTGGTATGAGGACTAGACGAGGCTCCATTCCCTTTGCTGTCTCACCTGGAAATCCTCGACCATGGAAAAGACATCCAGCACCACGAACGGGTCCTCTGACGCAAACCAGTCACGATTAGAACACACAGAGACGTCTGTCGCTCCTCCCTCCAACACAACTACCATTACCGCCGAACCCCAGCCGCACTCCAAGGAATCCTCGGCCACCACATCCTTAACACCATCACCATACAACTCCCGCGATACCTCGCCCTCGAGACAGCCTCCAAGGCCCACCGTCGCGCCCAAGTCGTCTTCTACCCCCGGGCTGAGGTCGCGCAAAAGCAGCCAGCAGGATTTGACCGCAGTGCGGACGCCCAGGTCTACCAGCAGCATACCAGGCCCGCCGGCATCGTCGAGAGTTCTTTCCGCTGCTACAACTCCCACCCTCCTCCCGAATTCGCAAGAATCCTTTCTTAAATCCATCAACCCGCAGAAGGCGCCTCTCAATACTGAGGTGACCCAAACGAGAGATAGCCCTCGCTGGCCGGTATCACCTCGCTTGCGCTCGCCCCCTCCCCAGCTCAACAAGCCTCAAAATCCGCCCGCGCCACGTCGAAGTGAGCAAGATACACCAAGAATAAATCTCACGAGAGCCTCTCCTTCTCCCCAACCAGACCCCCTCCCTTCCATGTCCGAGAGCGAAACCGACGACTCGCAACTTCCCTCTGGCGTGAGGACCCCCGTCACCGTAAACGGGTCGGCTTTGGAAACAGTACAGGAGGTGAGCTTGCCAAATTCACCGGGACAGATGGATTCCACATTGGAAAAGGTCAATGAGAAGCTGGCCCATGAGGCAGCTGCCAGCGCCGACAACCTCGGCCACGCAGACCTAAATCGGACAGTTCGACTCAGCAGAGGATCCTTCCAAACCACCGAGACGGGCGACAACGGAACACTCAGAGTGCGATCCCAGAGCTCTGCTCCGGTCCCAACCGTGACGCGACAGTCGAGTGTGCTGTCAAACAAGCAAGGAAAAAGCAAGGCAGCTGGAGAAGGATCCTCCCTCATAGTCGAGACGGAAACAGTATCTTCTATCCCCAGGTGGCATTGGCGCCCGCTTCGAAATTGGAAGCTGGCAGCGGCACACTCAAGGCAAAGCCGAGTACCGAGACGATTCGACCCAAAAAGGAGAAGAAGAAGACAAGCCGAAAGCAACCGACTGTCAACTCTGGCAATGGTAAGACGTCATATTTTGTACAAATTCTTTTCCCCAGGACGCATCCTTGGCGAAGTCTGCGACGAGTGTCTGTAGCAACTGACATTTTGTTGCCCACTCAAACTTTATTTGTGATCGAGAATGGGAGGTGGTGGTGACTTTACGGCGGCCTCGGGTCTTACTGCCGGTGTTCGCTTGCAATTTACCCCTCACAAGAAAGAAGAAGAAAACCTTCGTTTGCCAGAAATTTACTGACAATACGATATTTAGCATCCTCCAAAGCAGATATCTTTGAGGCTAAAGTGGCCAGCGCGGTTGACGAGGCGAACACGTCAGACTCGGAAGAGACATTCGTCTACGATTCTAACCCCCCTGATGTAGGGGATAGACGTCGGTTTCATTCCAGAACCCCCAGCGCCACTTCGATGATTAGCCAAGCCGACAGGCCCGGCGGCATGGGCATGCGCTCAATTCACGAAGCGTTGCAAGGTGGTGCAGCAGCAGTCGGCCTGAAGAAGAGCATGAAGTTCGTCAACACGTTCAGCAGCAACGGAGCTGAGAGCCTGGGCGTCGACGAAGACGGGAAAGGCAGCGGCAGGAGCGTTGGACCTGGCTCAGGCAGGGGCACAACCAGGCATCATCATCACAATCATTTTGGACGGTGGGGACGACAGCCTGGCAACTCGCATCCCTCTCTCTTTGATAACGAATCGCTATTTCCCAATGCCGCACGATCGAAGTTGTCGGGCAACACCTCAAGACACTCGTCCGGTCCTCCGAGTCCCAGAGTTGCTAGTTCCGCTAGAGGTGGCCCGCATGCTCTCGGAAAGCGATCTTCGATCCAGATGGCTCGCTACGATGCCGCCGACGACACCACGACCACTGGAGCCGACGACGAGCGCACCCCTTTGATATCGTCTACAGTTCGGTCTGCACGAAGAAGCCGGCGTCAACCCACAAACCTGCGAAACCTGGAATCACAGGCATACAGGCAACCGCCATCTTATTTGAACCGGTTTGCTGCTTGTTTGGTGGTGACGATGATGCTACTACTTGTCATTACCGGCGCTATTGGCTTCATGTTCGCCACGTCGCAGCCGCTCACGGACATCCAGCTTGTTTCCATCAAGAATGTCTTGGCTAGTGATCCGGAACTGATGTTTGACCTGACAGTCAAAGCTCACAACCCCAACATCGTGGTAGTGTCAATCGATCAGGCGAATCTTGAGATATTCGCCAAGTCACCTCACGCGGGAACAGACTTTGACTGGTGGAAGCGGCCGCATGACGGGAATGAGGGCGATCCCGAGGGCCCGGAGATGCATATCCAGGATGATCCTCCTGATGACCCGCCGGATGAAGACACTGCGCCAAACATGCGTCTGGGTACCATTACGGAGTTCGACAGTCCGCTGTCCTTCGAAGGATCCTTCTTCAACAAGGGTGTTTCAGCATCAACAGGCACGATGAGGCTCCATCTCCCAGGCAACCATTCTGCCGGGGGCTCCGAGCGCTGGGGCCGTATTATTCAAGATGAGTTCGATTTGATTATCAAAGGTGTTGTTCGTTATTCCCTGCCTTTGAGTCAGCGGGTACGAAGTGCACCGATATCTGGAAGAACGACGGTCAAGCCTAATTCTGCCAACGATCCATCACTTCGACCAAACACAACTTTACCTGGTGAAGTACCAGGTCTCGAGCCATAGGGGTTTTCACTAGCGCTCGTCACTCCCAATCATTTCCTTTGTCGACTTGTTCTGTATATTGAGCGTGCATGGCATGGCATAGCATTTCAAGGGAAAAGCGGCGTCGAGTGGGATTTTTCAGCAACAAGCGCTTTGGAACAAAGACAGACAAAAGCGACCTGTACATACTGTTCTTATTGAGACTGTCGTAAATCACGATGGCTCTTCTACCTTTGAGCTTGCGTTTCTGCGCAGCCACTGTTTTGCGTTGCGTCCCCCCCTTCACCCAGGCGATCCCCACCATTCGTGGACCACATACATGCCCTCACTCGGCACAGCACATCAGGAAGCACAGCGCACTCATTCAGGGACAGGACTTTTCTTTACTATGGGGGACAGGTTTAAGAGAGTTGTTTTTCATCTTTCAGGGTTTTTTTCCTCCCACGGTCTGGGAATGTTCTTCAACACGGCCTTTTGACACTCTGGGGGGTTTGCATTAGAAAGGGAAAAGTGGCAACTACACTGTTGTAATTGTGACGAAACTTAACGATCAACAGGAAAGAGAGAAAAAGACGGAACGACTAGCCAGGTCCGCCTGCAGAGGTGCGTGACAGCAAAAAAAGTTGCATTCAACGACAAAATCATATAATGGCGATGAGGGTTCTGATGTGGAGGAGCTACTAACCGTGAAGGTCTAGTGTAAGAGAGGGAGTTTAGATATGGTTGGATGGTGGTATCACAAAATGATAGTTGTGGAAGACAAGCCCCGTCATCTCATTTCCATGAAGCATGGGAAATGACGGAACAACATACCATACCTCACTTAATCTCTTTGTAGCCAAAACCACCGATTCAGTACTATGTGACACTGAGGTACGCGGCTTCCCCTCCAAACCGTTCCGTCTCTCCAGTCCCTCCAGCTGCCCCTGCCCTGCACTTGCATGATCCTGCCAACCGGCCGCCATCAAAAAGTTGTGAGTTGTGAGCTCACCAGTGTGGCGTTTCCAGCGGAAGACCTTGACCGCTTGTGCACCAGAAAGGGGAGGGGAACGGAATGCAGATGGATGGATGATGTGTGGGTAATGCAAACAGACCCCAAACAACCTCGGGAGGGTGGCATGGTTTGTTTATCGGTTTCGTTCTTTTGCCTTGGAAACCCCTCCGATCGGAGCCGGGCCGGGCCCACCGCAACCCTTGATCTCACTTGCTGTATACGGTTTCTTTTCCCTTCTTCTTCTTCAGGTTGCGGAGGTTTCATGCGAACACGCCGTTGGCGTGTGACTCTGGAATGACAAAAGAGAGAGGGGGGAGAGGGATGGGTGGGGAGGCTTCACTGATGATAGAACGATGGTGCGCCAGCGAAAGGAAGTCAGGAAGGAGGATGGATATAGAAGAGTAGGGGCTCCTTGAGCCTCCTCTGTACCACAAGCTAGCATCCACATCTGGTCCACTCGAATCTGCGAGTGATTAGAAGCGGGCAACTTGGCCGAGCGGTCTAAGGCGCCAGACTCAAGATAACGGTTCGTTCAAGAGCCTGCGTCTTCCCTGGGTACCAGGGAGCATTCTGGTCTCGAAAGAGGCGTGAGTTCGAATCTCACAGTTGTCAATGTTATTTTTTCCCCTTGCTCTGTTTTCCCATGTCGTTTTGGAGTATGAGTCACCCAAGTCGTGTAGTTGGTCGTTTGGTGGTTGCGTGTGGCTCCTGGCAGAACTTCACAGTTTATTGTTCATGCTAGCTCTTGGTAACCCCTCGGCGTTCGTCTTGCAAGACGCGACATTCTCGTTACCCCCAAGGCCCGACCAGAGGCGATCCAACATGCAAGAGCTGGAAATCCCACGTGTGTTGTTTTGATAGAAGCGACCCTTTCCGAAACTCGGTTAAGCTTCGGGACATGTATTCTACTGCCACCAAATAACGCAAATGATTGTACGGATTGTGCCATTCGCGTTGCCAACAGCGAGTCATATAACACACGAGCGCAGCGTTACTTACTCACCTTCAAGCCAAAAAAGAAATTGGAAGAAGGAAAAAAAAAAGTGAATACTCTCAACCTCGTTCAAGTTCCTGTGCATAAGAAGAAAGGAACACTGAGAAAATGCCCGTCATCACCACCAAGGAATCCGCCTCGGCCGTCGCCGAGGCCCTGAAGGCCGAGGCCAGCGGGGCCAAGCCGGCGTACCTCGTCGTCTACGCCTCGCACCGCAACGGGCGCTCGTGGTGCGGTGACTGCACGGCGGCCGAGCCGTACATTGAGAAGAAGTTTGGCGGCGACGAGAACACCGTCCGTGTCGTCTACGCGGGGTTGCCCGAGGAGTGAGTTGTTGACCCCCCTTCCTTTTCGCCTCTTGTCTCGTTACCCTGGGTCGTTGAGTTCCAATGAGCACATGGGGACGCGGTCAAAGTCGCGGCATGTCATATCGGTGCTTGTTGTTGCTAACATTGGAACCACAGGTGGAGGACAAAGGAGAACCCGTGGAGGCAGGCGCCGTTCAACGTCACGAACCTGCCTACCCTGATCAAGGTCTCTGGCGAGAAGGTGAGTTCTCCCACTCCCCGTCGAGGACGGCGAGCTACACATCTTCGTCACGACTATCACTTACCCCTGGTCCTGTTGTGACGGCGGCGCTGACAAGTGAGCATCAGAAGTGGGAGAAGCTGGTCGAGGCGGACGTGTACGACCAGAAGAAGCTTGACGCCTTCGTCGGCGGCAACAGCCGTTTGTAAGCCTACGTAGTTGATAGATCAACAAATATACGGAATAATCATCCTAGAACCAACGAGGGCGATTCCCGTTTCGTGGCTCTCGTCCGCGGGACTAAAGCATCGTACGCGGTCTGCGGAAGAGGTTGCGTGTTTGTGTGCGCGTGCGCGTGAGAGATTCGTCGTTGAAATCTCCCGCCCGGGTCGAACCAGATGAGGGTGCTCTGACGAGTCTTTCTGCTGGCGGAGGCCGCTGCGAAAAATGGACATGACCGACGGAAGCATCGCCACAATGACAACCACATCGGCGGCGCAGGAGTGAAGCTAGCTTCCCCGCTTGGTGTGAGGAAACGACGGGGTTTCAAAAGGGTTTCTTCGCTACATCGTTGGAGCAGAAACGCATGTTCTGCACGCCTGGCTGCGTCTCTCTTGGCAAGGCATCTCGGCTCGAACGCCTACGAATTAATTGTTGTCGTACCCGGAAAAAAAAAAGAGAGAGAAAAGAGGGGAAAAAAGATCCCGGAGACTGAATAGCAATCTGCAACGACCAACGCGAGCCCTTACCGTCTAAGCAAGCTAGGTGTTCAAGACATTGCCTGTTCATGTTGAGCAAACCGTTAGAGTCACCGCGAGAAGCAGAGCTGCCCGAGTCAACAGGTCTGGGCCGCGAGGTAAATGCTTACAATGACAACAATTCGCCTCTGTCAAGATTCGCATATGGGCTGCAGCTTATGAAACAGGGGGAAGAAGACACTGCATTGCCTCGACTCGATCTGATTTTTGCGAGACAAAGGGGGCACCGTTCTAACGTCAAGCCATCTCTGCATTACTCATGTATCTATCCAACATTGCGTCTAGCTAGGTTACAAGCCCAAAGACTCGGCAGTCCATGAAGCCATTCTTAGGAAGCAGACGCGCCTGTCATCAAATATCCAGCACGCACTAGGAAATGCTGTTAATCATGATAAAGAAAAAAAAACACCACCAACAACAAAAAAGCCGCCATCTCCTCATTCACATTCCCAATACCCCCCAAAAACTATCTTTGCCTCCCCCCTACCCCCTCACCCTCGATCTCGAGGGGAGGGTTATGAAGTAGTAGATATAGTGTGTTTAATAAAAAGAAAAAGAGAATAAGCGTGGCCGTGAGAAGAGGAAAGTAAAAGTAAACAATAAACAACTGCAAAGATGGATGTATCGCGCCCCCGGACCCAATATTTAGTTCGTACACTACCTGCTATGCCAGCCCAAACCCCGTGTGTGAAGGAATGGAAAACCAAGCCGCGCATGTGAAGACTCAAGAAAGTCCCAATCGCGGGGGAAAAGGAGGGGGTATCCCGTTCTTGTTTTATTCTTTTCCTTATCCAACAATGCCAAAGTCCGATGCTGAGAGGGAGAAGTCGATGCGTTGCAGAGCAAGGAAGGAGGTCATAAACATAACGGCGTAATCATGTACCGATTACTCGGGAATGGCTTCGTTGGATGCGGCCGGGGGGATTCGTCCTTCTTGCCCCAGCCCGAGGCCCAGCCCATCCAGCTGGATCGCTTATTGTTCTCCTGCTTGGCTTCGTTGTTCTCTTGCACCAGGCGTAGAGGACGGGGTTTGTTGCCCGCAAAGGTGGTCTGCTTCTCGTGGTGGGACCGCGGAGGCGACTGCGAGGGAGGCGTGGTCAGGTCATTCGAGTCACCGCTCGTGCTCGATGTCTCGCTGCGCATCCCAGGAAAGTTTCCTGCCGTGGGTGCCTGCTGGCCGCTAGGTGCCCGCGCCGCCGCGTTAGGGTTGCCGCCGAAGAAGGTCTGCGAAGTTCGCGGGGTGCGAGGGGAGCCAAGCGGCGGGGAAATGGGGCCATCCGGTCCCCTATACATCTGGTTGACCAGGTTGACACCAGTGAACTGCTCGCTCATCGGGCGCGCACGGCGAGTGCTGGAGGAACGGGTCAGGTTCCCGATAGGAATGCGAGGTGCTGTCTCCGGATCGGTGTGTGCCGAGTTGGCTGGCTGTGCCGAAGGCATGTAAGACATGGGCCTCGGTCTGGGCTTGTTCGGGCCGACGGCCATGGTCTTCGCCCGTTGCAACAGCGACGCTCCGGAAGCGCCCTCCTTTGGCGGTGGGGGCGGGAGGTCTTTGTTGGTGTTGGCGGTTAGTGGCTTGGGCTCGCTGGAAGTGTCTAGAATGTGCTCGAAATCTTGGTGCTGGAGCAGTCTCTCAATGATCTTGTTGATGTAGAGCGTGAGCGCTTTGTTCTGGTCCTTCATAGACTTGAGCTCCGACTCGAGGCGGCGGACAACTTCGTTTTCGTTGCCAGCATCGGATGCATCCTCGGACAGCTCATCCGCCAGGCTCGCGCCGCCAGCGCGGCCCTCAAGCGCATTGAGCGCATCCTGGTTGGCCGATACTCCCATATAGCTGAAATCGTTCTTGGAGAAATCGCCGTTGAGAGTCTTCTCCTGGAGCAGCAGCTGGTAGCTCTCGTTATCTTCCATGAGACGGGCGTTGGCCATGCGGGCTTCCATCAACAGCCGTTCCACCTCCTGCAGCCTGCCGCCGCCCTGGTTCTCGGATTCCACCAGCTTGATCTGGGCCTCGGCCAGTTCAAGTCTCAATGACTCAATCAGCTTGTCCTTCTGAAGCAAGATCTTGGAATTGTTCCGGGAGTCGCTGCGGTTCAGAGACGAAGGAGGAGCGAAGCTACCATTGTCGACGTTGGGTGACGATGTTGCGGCTTGGTCTTGTTAGCCTCTGTTTTCCTCGGTCGGGGTGGTGAGACTTACATTGCCGTGATGGGCGGCCCTCCTCGTCGTTGGCTCGCTGCGACAGGGTGTCCTTTAGCCTCTGAATGATGGTCTGCATCTCCTCCTCTCGGTTGGACATCTCTTCCTTCTCCTTGGTCATTGAGCTTCGCTCGGCCTCGTAGATCGCCTCCATTTCACGCATCTTCTTGGCGGCATCCCTCTTTTCGTTCCGCAGCGTCTCGATTTGCTCTTCTGCCTCATGCACCTTCTCCTCCAGCTTGGAGGATTCCGTGATGGCATCGTCCAGTCTCGTCTGCAGTACTTCGACCTGTTTCCTGTACTGATCGGAAGAGACCTCGGCTTTGGAGAGACGCTCTTTGAGGTCGTCCAGCAGCGCAACGGTCTCAGCCCTCGCAGCCTCCTCGGCTTCGGCATTGCCGCTGTTGTTGCTGTTGCTCAGAATGGAATCTCTTCTCGCGGCGGCTGCTCGAGCGGACACAGGCGTCCCTGATCGAGCGGGCGCTCTGCGTGCAGCAGAAGCAGCGGTGGGCGTGGAGGACCGCGTGGGTGTTCTCGCGGGAGACGCAGAAGGCGACGATGCGGAATCCGTCGAAGAAACGCGACCGACGCCCGCAGCGGGCGGTTTCTTTGCGGTGGCAGCGGACATGGTTGTCGCGGAGGCCTTGTTGTGGCGATAGTTGTTGTTGATGCAGTTCGCAGCGGAGGGTAACCTGGGGAAACGGAAGGTAAGCGGGGGGACTCGTCGGGCGGTGGAAAAAAAAGAAGGGCGGCGGCCTAGGTGCAGTGCCGGGAGTTATTCCTGTAGTGACGATGTTCCGTTCCAAAGAGAAGAGGCTACCTTACCAGACGTGTATGTAATTTGCTTATTCTTGGAATAGCAAGTGGCGCGGGAACACACAACAGCGGAGAGTTGTCGATCGTTGGGCTGCCCAGAAAATGCGAATGCCAAATAGGAGTGCGGTGCAGAATGGGAGGGTGTGCAGCAGCAGCTTTGCAAGCTTAAGTCGGTGTCAGACGGCTTCAGCCCCGGTCAGTAGGTTCCGTGGTCCCTCTTACTTCCTTCGCGTTGGCCCGTTGAATCCTGGCAGGCGACGGGGGTGCCAGCGTGCGGGTGCAGTGCGCGTGTCTGTGTATGTGTCTGTGTGTCGGTG